AGGAAATCAGTGTGTCAGTTCCCCTCGCGGAAGACGTGCGAGATCCGATAGTTAACCGACAGAAGTGTGGATCTGATGCGCATGAATGGGTGTTGAATCTGCTACGAGCCTTAGTGGCTCGAGGTCAATAGATTGTTGAAAACGACAACATCCAACTCAATCCAAATGTGAGTACAGATAGAGGCTGCAATCTGAAGACCAATCTGGAGTGCCTGAACCTCCGTGTCGTAGCTAGATTTGGCCTAAAGAGAGGCGTGGAAAGCGGCAATGAGAGCTTCGATGTGATCCCTAACTAGGCCCCCACCTCTGGCGGCTCTGGTGAGTCGGTAGAAAGATCTGTTGGCGTTCAACTTAACTAAGGAGGGTCGGGTCTCAGCCAAACAACAGCTCTAGAGCGTGGATGCTTGACAGGCAGCAACGGTGTCAGTCATAGGATTCCCCGACTACCAGAACCCTAATTTTCCAGGGGAAAGAGAGCTTGACGATATGCCTCAGAGGGTTATTTTTCAGGGGTCCACAAAGGTGCAGGGTTGGGTTGAAGGGACGGATGAGCTCCTTGACCTGTAAATTTATCGACCAGATCAAGTAGTTGTGCTTGAGAAGGAATGGTTGGGGTGCTAGACATGGTCGACAAAGAATTTTCACGTAAAAATAGAAAAAGAGTAGGGATGGGGTTCTCCTAGCAAGGCTCAATAAAAAGTAAAGGAAAACATAAAAGATCAGAAGAAGGATCAAGATAAAGACATACCCATAATTCGATCTGGAAGAAGGTTGAAGAGGAGTGTCAAGAATTCCCCGAAGAAAGATCGCCAGAAAATTGTTGAAAAGTAGATTTCTTGCAGAGAAGGTTTAAGTGCATAAAGAAAGTAAAGTATTTGAAGGGTGGAAAAAGGGCTTTTATAAGCTAAGATAGGTAATAGTCTACCAAATCCGGCCGTTGAAAGAAATGCGACTCAAGAATCTATAAATACGGGCTAGAATCTGGTACGACGCATCCATCTGTACATTGTACGTGTCGAAAAGTTGGGATCTGAGCATGTAAAAAACCTCTTATTGGTGTCTACTGATCTCCCAGGTTATTTGACAATACATTGTACATAAAAGAAGACTACATACAAAGATTCAGTGCAAGGATCCATTTAACCACATGTCTAGTTAGCTTGTCCTCAAATGGGTTTTGGGGGGGGGAGGGGAGGGGAGGGATGCTACATGATTTAGCACTCAGTATAAGATCGACAGACCGGTCTGAGTAGGCAGCTCAGCTAGGTCGGCCTAAGAGAGCTCTACTATGTTCAGAGATGAGCTATCGAGTCGAGTAGCTCGTATGCAGGCTGAAGGTGCTGACTGACCTGAAGAATAAGACCTAGGGCTACCGACCTCCAGAAGCTCGACAATACAACTGACCTCGAGGTATCGAGGTCGTATGACCTGAGGTCTGAGAAGACCTCAAGGTGAGGTCTGGTTCGACCTCGGGTAAGCCACAAAAAGCAGGTCTAGAGGCTGAGGTTATGACCTAAGGACCTAAGGGTTGTATAGTAAGGGGGAAAGATTCCCAGTAAGAATGAAAGAATCACTTGTTCAATGACACTTGCCCAAAAAGAGATGCGGTAAGTTAGGAAGTGTGATCTAGTTAGATCTCTTTCCTAACAAGAACTCTTTAGGGCAATAAGGTAGCTACCCTATACAAAGGTGTCAGGCGCTTCTTCATAATCATTGCATTCTACGCCTTTATTTATATCTTTGGAGTGATCAATCATAAGCGTATTCGTTATTTTTATATTTTTCAAATAAAATAAAATTCTGGATTAGGTAAAAATTGAATAATTGATTTAATTTTTCATAGAATTTAATCTCAAATTATTGATATCACATCGTAAAAATAAACTAAAAATAATTTAGGTAGAAATAATTGATTGAATTTTTTTTGAAAAGTTTAATAAAAAGATTTAAATTAATTATTCATATCACCACCTAAAATAAATAAATAAAAAGTTGTACGGGGTAGAGACCAAACGGATACAAAATTAAATTAAATAAAGTCTGTCCGTGCTCGTAACTTAAAAATTAGGGAACGGGCCGAACAAGACATGGAAACCGAGTAAGATGTAGATAGCGTGTTCGATCAGCGCCCATCATTACCAGAATATCGACCGTACGATACGCATTAAATGCGCCTGGATCCGGTAATCATCCATCTAATGGCGCTTAACAGGCGAGGACACGTGTCGCAGCCCGAGCTCGTCTGCTTTATTGAGATGGTGTTTAGAAGTACAATAGCAATAAATGTGGTGTGACTAAATATCTAATTAATATCTTGTAAAGTAAAAAGGGAAAAGGAAACCTGAAAATGAAGATGCAATAAAGCCCTCACACTTCCTATATAAGGAGCAAGAGGCGATATTAAATGCAATGAGTAAATTCTCTCATTAATACCATATAAGTCACGGATAGAGCTTACATTCGTACCCACTTTCGTACCGAATACTACATAAATTCCTATTCGTGCAGACCGAACAGAGTATACATTCTAGTATACAGTTCGAACACATTGCTGGTCATTTTTAGACATCAACAAAAGTCTCGCCACGTATGATAAAGGAAAATTTAAAGGAAATAAAGAAAAGTAATAAATAATGTTTAAAAAACTTCCTTATTTAGTAACAATTTTTTTTTAAGGAAAACAATAATATTTTTAAGTAAACGCAAACCTTTATATATTAATATGGCCCTGTTTGAATGTTAGTGGATTGGTGTAGAATTAGCGAATTGCACTTCATTTAATAGTTTGACCTGTCAAATCAACTAATTAACTTGTTTGGTAAAGAGCTTATGTGGTCAGCTTTTGAGACCAAAATGTTAGTACTATAAAAACTCAATATATGAGCAATTTTAGAAGAGATGTTCATCAAATAACATGTCACAATAAAATTTTAAAATAGTTAACAATTCACTATTTACCAAATAATTATTTACAAACAACTAATATAACCAGCTAGCGGCTATTCAAATCATCTATCAACTATCCGCTATCAACTAATAGTCAAACAAGACATAAACTTGCATGAATATTTGAATAACTGTATTTATTATTAAATTTGAAACGCCATAATATACCGTTTTTACAAGAGGAGTTTCTGGATGAGGCACTATACATGCTAGCCTATAGACATGTACAAGAAAATAATGGAAATATGGGATCATAATTTTTAATTTTTTTTTCAAACGGTAATTATATTAATAACTCAAACAGAGTTCATCTGATATGTCAAATGAGACCACAAAAGTTAAAAGAAAGTCTGGAATCAACTCTTATTGGAATTACACTCGCAACGAATGAGGTAAAAACACCGTGAAATAAAAAACTCCATAAAGGACACTACAGAAACTACATAAAGCTCCACAAAAGTTNCCTCTGGCATTAGTTTTGAAAGTTTTCTATTTTTATATTGTTATGCTTTTCTTTTGCTATATAAATTATTATATATACTTACATTAGTTAATATAGTTATATTATTAAATAAATCTAAGACAATTATTATGAATATATATAATTATTTATTATAACTATTTACAAGCGATTTCATTTATGAATAAGGATACAGTATGAATTAAATGAAATTACAAAATCTTTTTAATTACTTAAATTTTGTGATGTGTTATTTTTAATAGTTATTCTTTTACTTTTTTATAATATTAAATTATTATAAAATTAAAAAAGAAAATTATTCATGAGATAATTATAGTTAACATTTTTAACAAGATTCTCAATTAAACAATTATAAAATTACAAACAAAAATTGAAAATGTGAATATTCGATAATGCATCGATTCAACTATTGTGCAATGCTTCAAAAGCTTTTATTCGAATTATTATTTTTAAATAATGTTTAGGGTCTCGGATGCCAATTTTCTCAGCGTGTGCCATTTGTGCTGGAAAAAACTCCAAGGCAAATACACTGTTTAATTAATTATTTTTTCTTTTACGCTTTGCTCGTGCCGTTTTGGTTGAAAAAAAATAATTTTAGAAATATCATATTATATGAATTCGTTACCAATATTTTCTTAGAATTATCCTTTTTAGTAGATAACTTACTTAAAAATATGAATATTTGAAAATGATTTGAAATGCTGTACGAAAGCGTTGAATTGATTTATATTGAATATTTACATTTTCAATTTATATTTTTTTTGGATAATTTTACCGACGACCCACACACAGCTTGCCAAGGTTTGTCGTATCTTGTCGCATTAAAGGTACTGCGTCAAGGCAAAACTCAAAGTTCGGTCCATAACACTATGCTAGCCTATAGACGTGCAAGAAAAGAATGGAAACATGGGATCATAATTTGGACAATGGACAATGGAGGGGAAGGGAGGGGAGGGATTTTAATGGAGGGAAAGGGAGGGGAGGGGAGGTGATGTAAAATAATTTTACCTTGTTTGGAGGGATTATTCAAGAGGGGAAGGGAGGGAAAATAGTAAACCTTGTTTGGTTCAAAAATTAAAGGAAGGGAAAATAAAATTAAAATGACAAACTTACCCTTAATGAAATAAGATAAAAAATAAAAAACAATTGAAAGTAGGGACTAAATGGTATTTTCACACCATCTTAACACATTTTCCTTCCAAATCCCTCCAATTTTGGAGGGGAGGTAAAGTGAGGGAGGGGAGGGAAATTTACTTAAAATTTTCCTCTCCCTCCCCTCCTAATTTTTCAACCAAACAAGAGAAAATTAAAATTTTCCATCCCCTCCCCTCCCCTCCCCTCCAAATCCCTCGAACCAAACACTACCGTAGTGTGATACATGAAGTTAAATTCAAATTCCATTCTTCTTTTGTTAACAATCTCTTTACGTAGAAATATATAATACTGATCATAATTCCTCTTGTGTCCTAAACGACCCAAACTTAAATGACCATCAAACTACATTATTCTAACTCGGCCATGTTTCAATCCCCTCTCAATTTGAAAGCTTTAGAGGGCCTAATCAAACAAAAATCTATTTACCATTCCCCGTCTCGTCGTGGGCCCATTCAGGTGGGAGCTCGTTAAGGTCGAAATCAAAGCCCGAGCCCAGCCCATTTCCATTCATGGCCCGCCTACAATGCCGCTTGTGCCCTCCAAGTGCTTGTCCTTTTGAAAACACACGGTCACAGAACACGCACTTATGCTCCACTCCACAAGGCCGGGCTTCGGGCCATTCATAGTCGACAAATGACAAGCCGACAACGCTAATGTCATGATGGGCCTTATAACTGTTGTGGTGGGACATGTGTCCGCCCAAGGCCTGGTAGCTCCTAAAAGCCCGACTACATATATCACAAGTATGGGGCTTTGGGCCCCTGACTAGATTCTTGTGAGCAATAACATTATCAATATCAACCAAGTTCTTCACCCTTTTACAACTTTTTGGGCCTGGATTCATCGACAAAGGCCCGTTTGGGAACGGGAGTCTAATTGGGCTTGGGTTTTCAGCAGATTCTATCTTCTTTTTCTTAGGAGGTAGATTCTCTGTATCGTGAACTTTGTTGTCAGAGCCCGACGGGCCCTGATTAGAATCGGGACTGCACATTTGGGCCTTTTCGGGCCTTGTTCTTGTTCTCCTACTCGTTTTCGACCATGCTGGAAAATGGTTACTTTTCATTTCTGCTATTGGAGGTTGCATTCCTCACCAATTCTTGTGTAAACAAAAAATTTAGCTTATCTAATTTTTTGGTAAATTGACCTCTAAGAGTTTTTTCATTGATGTAACTTGTTTCCCATATATCAGAAAGGAAAAATAAAAGTGGCACTCAAGATTTTGGTGAGATGTTAAAGGAGAGGAACATAAATAACATAATTTAGCTGATGTTACTTGAACAAAAGTAAAACGGATTACAAATGTTGTAACCTTTATTAAACCTCATTCATTTAACACTTAATGAGATTTGAGTAAACCTTATTCACCGAGCATTTAATGAGCTGCTCTTATTTAATTACACTTAAACAATCCTCTGTTAGTTAGCGTTCAGAAAAACAGAGTAAAAGCATGTTTGCGTCTCACTATCATCAACTTTTCAAAGGAAACTTGGTAAGAAGAGCCGTAGTTACACGCCCTGAAGTGGAGAAATTTTGCAGTCATCACGATTGTCATAGTGTGGTGCGAACTATTTTCCTTTTTTTTTTTTTTTTTTTTTTTTTTTTTTTGTCTTTTTTGTTATATTAATTTAATGTACATTTTTGCTAAAGTGTAAATTAGTAACAAAAAGGCCACTGGTGTAGCTGTATAGTAAAGTCCTCCAATTGCTAGTGATTGCAATTGCACAGCCTGTCAGTAACCTCACTGAGACAAGTTTGGCCACTGGTGAGAAGCTATCAAAAAAGTCAACCCCTTCTCTTTGTATGAACCCTTTTGCAACCAATCTAGCCTTAAACTTGTCAATTGAGACATTTGGATTTCTCATTATTTTATACACCCACTTTGATCCAATAGCCTTCTTTCCAGGTGGCAGCTTTGTGAGTATCCAAGTTTTATTTAATTCCAAAGCCTTTAACTCCTTTTGCATAGCATCTAACCACCTTTTATCTCCAACGGCTTGCTCATAAAACAATGGTTTTGTGACTGTTTTGTTAACTGTGGAAAAGAAAAGGTTTTATCTCCTCAGTTTATGGTATCTCGACCACATAATCAGACAACCAAGAAGGAGGTTTCTTAATTCTGCTCCCTCTTCTAAGAACTCCTTCATTTACAGTCAAATCTGGTACTTCTTGAGTGGATTCTTGTGTGAACCCTTCTGTCTCCTCCACATCATTTATGACTGGCAAAGAAATGGTTTGATCTGTGGCATTAGAAGTGACTTCATGAAACGGAAATATCTTCATAAAATATTACATCCCTACTGATGAAGACCTCTTTAGTATCAAGGTTGTACACCCTATATTCTTTTGTCCTTGAAATGTAGCCCAAAAAGGCACAGCTCACAGCTCTTTCATCAAATTTCCTTTTATGTGGTCCAAGTTTGCTTGCATAGCATAAACGCCCAAAAGTCTTGAACATGGCATAAGCTGGTGGTTTGCCATGGAGTAGCTCATAAGGACTCTTCCAACCTAACTTTTCACTAGGCAAGGTGTTGATTATTTGTACAGCAGCAAGCAAGCTGTATGGCCAAAGTTTCTTTGGTAATTTTGACTGAAAGGAAATTGATCTTGCCACTTCTAGAATGGATCTATGTTTCCTCTCTACTACTCCATTTTGTTGTGGAGTGTAGGGACATGTCCTTTGATATAGTATCCCACTTTCTGTCAACAAAGTATTCATCTCCCTGTTGACAAACTCACTGCCATTGTCACTTCTCATTTGTTTCACCTTGACTCCAAACTGCACCTCTACCATTCTAAAAAAGGATTTCATGTGTATGTAAGTTTCTATTTTATACTTCAACAAATAAATCCAGGTGGCCTTTGTGATATCATCAACAACTGTCAACATATAAGAAACATTCAATGCTGACTCCTCATGGTGTGGCCCCCATACATCCACATGTATCAACTCAAACTTGCGTGTGCTTTGTATCTGACTTAGAGGAAAAGGTAATCTGGTTTGTTTTGATCTGTGAAACACATCACATGGACTCACTTCCTGGTTCATATGTTCACCCTTCAAGAAATGTAAGTGTTTCAGACATTAACTAGAGCAAGTGCACTGTCCTTACCAACTGCATTGACATATATTCTTTGTCCTTCTATCACATATAAACCTGCCATTGCCTTTCCCAAGGCTATGATTGAATTTGTTTTTATATCTCTCAGTTTGCAATCCCTTTCAGTAAATACAAAGTTCAAATCATCATTTTCTACAAATTGTCCCATTGATAAAAGATTGTATTTAAATTCAGGTATTAAAAGTACCTCTTTAAGTGTAATTTGATCATTGAACTGTACTTCACCAACTTGAGTCACCTTCACTTTTGTGTCATCAGGAAGATTTACAATAATAGGAGTTTGAGTAAGTGATCTCTTTGTAAACATTCCAGCTTCACAACAGATGTGCTTGTTTGCACCAGTGTCCACAATCCAGCTGCATTTGTTGAGTCTGCCTGCCAAAGAGAAGGCATAATCCTCCTTGTCATTTGAATGTTCTACAAAATGTGAATATGTGTTGGTTTCTGCCTCTTGTTTTCCTTCCATGTACTTTGCAACTTCTCTCTGAATTAGTACATTTATATCAGGCAAAGGATCACTATGTTGAGATTTACCCTCTGAGTCCCCCTTTGATGAATCATCATTATCAGCCATGTTAACATTTTGAACCTGCCTTTGTTCTCTTAAGTCTTTATACCAATCTGGATATCCATTCAATTTGAAGCAACCCTCATGGCCATTAGATCCACAATGTGTGCAGAACAACTTTGCCCTTTCCTCTTTGGACAGCCTTTGACCACCTCTTCCTCTACCATCATTAACATTTTGTGTAGCAAATCCTCTTCCACCACCACCTCTGCCAAAAGTTTGTGCTCTGCCAACACCACCTCTTCCAAAATTGCCTTTAGCAAACATAGTCGAGGTCTCCATTTGGTTTGGAACTCCCATTTACACATTTTTCTGCTTTTCAACTTTCAGTATCATTGAATAAGCCTTGTTAATGATAGGTAATGGATCAAAAAGCAGAATCTCGTTTTTCACTGGTTCAAAAACCTCGTTTAATCCCATAAGGAATTGCATCAGCTTGATTTCCATATCATTTTTAATAAACTTCTTCCCAGATCCACATACACAATCAGGTATAGAAATCAAAGAGGAGTACTCATCCCATAGACATTTCAGTTTAGTGTAATAGGCAGTTACTGTGAGATTACCCTAAGTAAAATTAGCAATTTCCTTTTGTAACTGGTACCTTAGAGGTCCATTACTTTCACAATACCTTTCAGCTAGCTCGTCCCAAAGCTGTTTAGCATTCTTAACATACGCGAAGGCCTCTACAATGTCCTTAGAGATGGAGTTAAGCAGCCAAGAGATTACCATGGACTCTACCTTCTGGTATTGAACATACTCCTCCGATCCAATCTCCTGAATTACTACTGAGCCTTCAATAAATCCAAGCTTCGATTTCGCACTGAGAGCTAATTTCATCGTACGATTCCAGTGTGAGTAATTCGATCCAGTGAGCTGATTAGTGACCAACACCAACCCAGGATGATCAGATCCATGAAGGGAAAGTGGATCTACGTCTCGAGTGTAAATGCCTCTTCCAACGATTTCACGACTCTACTCATTGTTGCGTTGCGCCATTTTCTTTTGTTTTCTTTAACCTGCTCTAGATACCATGTAGATTTGAGCTTTTCACAAAGAAGTTTTGTATAAACCAAAGAAAAACAATTCAAAATATTCAAATCGCCATTAGATCTGAGCTTCAAGCTCTCAAAGTTACAAAAGAAGATGAAGGTCTTGTTCACGTGATAAAACCCGTACATGCCATAATGACCAATGAGGAAACAACACGCGTCCCACATATCACATGACACGTACACAAAGAAAGCTGAAATAGAAAATGCACCCTAATAAAATGAAACACGACTTTAACTAAGACATAAAAGAAAACAGGAAAACCGAGATAAAAGAACTCTTTCAAGGCTCGATTAACCCTCAGCATGCATGCGACCCTTATAAGTTCAACAGGCAGCTGTTGTTCTTAACCGTGAGGACGATGCTATCGGTAGTTTGGGAGAAGAAAATTTTACGTATCGAAGATTGATGAAGGTGGCGGCTGAAATTGGGGAGAGGGAGCCGAGAACATAAAAAATGGATTCTGTTGGGTTAGGGCCACTTAAGCTGCTGGGCTGGAAACATAAGGGTTGGTTTTGGCTGAGAATAAAAATGAAGGAAGCTGTTGGGCTATTATGGACTAATGAACTTTAGCTTACTTAGGATCTAAATTTGACACTTTAGTCAAATTTTAGGACTTTGGAAAATTGTAGGTACAAATAGACAATTAAGCAAAAATATAAATGAAAATGAACACATAACACTTAGGCTCATAAAAAAAATTAAGCACTTAGGGAAAAACGAGTACACGCTTAGCATATACATAAAAATTAGGCGCCTAATTCACTTAAACATATAATTCACATTAAAAAAAATACACTTAGGAACAACGTAACTAAGAAGATGAGGACATCCTCTTAATTCTCGATTTTGATTGGTAATTTATTACGTAAATTAAATAGATGAGAACATCTATTTAATTCCATTTATGGATTACTCAAGATTACACAAGTCGAGCAATGCAATATAAAATAATTGCAATGCAAAGTAAATAAGAAAATAAAATACGACGACTCTCATAAAGCAATATGGGTAGACTTGGACAAATAGTAGAGTTCTTGAGCAACAAGATAATTATTCTCATATATAGGCGTGTTTGATATAGAAGATAGGATTAGATTGTAATAATTTGGACTGCCTAGATTGTACTGTTGAGATTTGAGGAATATTGAGTTTGGTGGCCATGATTGCAGGGAAGAGGAAGATTAGACAAAGCTTATTTTTGTGTTTGTGGGGCATGACAATTGTTAGGATAAAACACCATTTTACTTAATTACTCTTTCATTGCCAAAATTTTTCAAACGAGAGCATTCCACTTTTTTCCCGTCTTTTTCCCCAATTCTAACCTATTTATGTCGGTCGTCCAAAAATGCGATCGCTGACTCTCTCCCATGGAATGCAAGCAAGACGAATCATCCGGCGTAACGTGTGGACGGGACCTTCTCGCATCTGAATACTTCTTCCATTTCTTCTGTGAGTTTACGTTATTGTGTAGTCTTGTACCTGTAATTTTTTGTTCTTACGAATATCTTCCATAAACACATATGTCATGCTTGTGTCCTATTAATTCGTTCGTCAACGTCTTTCTGAATCAGTGTTGTTATTTATTTTAATTTGTATTTCGGGCATCCAAGCAGTACGCAAATGTGTAGCACATCGTTTGAGACTTGTAAATCAAAAAGGCAACACAGTGTTGTTGTTTTGTCCAATCCGCAGTACCATTATTCTTTCCCATGTGGTTATATTAAAAAATGTATGATTATATTCTCTGGCATGTTGATGTCTGCATGGGTTGCTGTATGATACAATTTGGCAGAGATATATGATGCTTTCTGAATAAAAGTGCTGCAGATGGTGTATTTAATCAGTTGTCAGTTTTATCATTTACTTACATCACACAAATTGTGTAATTTGTATATTTGGTACAAATTGCCCTCCTCTGTGTGGTCGGTCATGTCCTCCCCTATATAAACACGCTCATTTACCTTATAATTTCAACATTCAAGTCACGACCAGAAAAGTAGGATTTAATTAACCCATCCTCTATTGTCATTGAAAAGCAGTATAATGGCACGTTTGGGAAGGGAAGCCACACAAGATGAGTTTCTTTACGATGATCGTTGGACCAAAGAGGTTGACAACTTGTTCATAGAACTCCTTGCAAAGGCACACCTTGCTCTTGAATGGAGACATGGCAGATCAGGGTTGAATGTATTCGCCTCTGGTGTATTGGTTGCAGATCTCGGGGAAAACGTCACGGTCATTGAACTCCAAGAAAGGTTTGATTTCCTTCACAAGCGTTTCCGAGTCTTTAGTTGGATGCTACAAAAACATGGGTTGTGCCACTATGTCCAGTCCAACGTCCTCACGTCTCCGGTAGCAGTGTGGGATGATATCTTTGAGGTACTTCATAACAACTTATCGTATCAGGGAGCTTAATGTTATCTATTGGTGTTTACACTTCGTTGGGAATAATACACATTTCGGTTAGCTTTTCTCTGGCAATTAATAGGATTTTACAAAAACATAAATGCAATTGCCATGTGTTTTTTGTTGTAGGTTTTCTTTTTTCTTATGTTTTTATGCCTACATAGCAAAAGGTAAAACCTTGTACCATATGTGGTATTGTCTAATTATTGAGTAAAAAGTTGTAAGATCAATGTACTGTTAACTCCTCCAAAATTGAGTTTATTCATAAGTTGTGTAGTCCTTAATTTGTTTCAGCTTTACTAGTTCGCACTTCAAACAGTTATTATATAGCAAATTTAATGATGTTCATACGAGTGCATATGTTTTCTCAGGCTGCTCAATTAGTTGTGTTTTAGTTGTTGTGTTGTATTACCAATATATGTTTAAACACTTATTGTCTGAAGTTGAACAAATATATTTATGCAGTCCGAACCATTCTCGGTAGCAGACCAACATTCTGGGGACCCGCGATGGCCGGACATACGATATTTGTTCACTGAGGTATATGAAGCCAGCGCAAATCCACCGGATGTATTGGACCAAAATTCTACTAACGAAAATTATGTAGCGGCCTTATACGAACAGTCGTACGTGTTTGAGCTGAGTTCCCTCACCAATGAACCACTACTAAATGGTTCAATCAGAAACAACGTTTGTCAACCAAGATCTACACGAGAACGTCAGGATTCATCCGAAGGCTCAGTGAATACACACACCCATGTGAGCATTCCAAGGCGGGGGAGTCGAACACCATTGCAATTGTTGCGACTTCCATAACAATTGTACATAACAATTGGGTTTGGCAAAGTCTGACTTGGGTTACTCTCGATGTCCACTTGTGCAGCCCCCTGTAAGTTCCACAGCTGCACACACTCATTGTACCATTTGAAGCCATTCCAATGAAAATACACTTCTAAATTGGTCTCCTGTAGGTGTATTAAATTTTTTTGGACGTTAACAAAGTTTCACAAGCACTTTATAAGAAATTGATAACCATATACACTTACCTCTCCGACGAAATTCCAGTAGTCTCGGTTCACACTAACCAAAGAGTCATCATCATGAACGCCGAATCCCGGTGTGGTCATGGTAATGTCCCCGAGATAGTGGATTTTATCACGTACCTTCATCCATGAAAAGTCCTTCTGCATGAGCTCCGATAACTGACGGGAGAGTCCGAACCATAACGAATCCAGGACGGGTGCCATGTGTACGTCGTCCATTTCTGCACATTTATGAAAAAAGAGACGATAGCAAACCTCCTCTTCCTCCTCGGTCCACCCCTCCAACCGGAAGCGGCGCGCAATGTTACCCAAGCTCGTCGTCTGATCCATTACTGTGTTGTCTGTTATGTCCAAATCGAAAAAAATAATTATAAATAAAAACGTTTCAAGACATAGACAGCAGATTTAGGGTGAGGGGAAAAAATTGTTACCAGATTACAGTGAATTGTGTGAAGTTGGTAGTGGTTTTAATTTAGCATGCACACACCATCAAGTTATATAGCCGGCTTGCACCTCATGTCAACATTACACATTATTTATTTGGGTAGTTAGCAATCAACTCACCTTAAATGGGAATAATCATTAAGCTTTTTGTTTTGCTTAAGTGGGACGACAAGTAGGATCAATTAAAGGCAGCCATTAATGTGTTGTTTTTAGCCTTGCGTTGGTCAATCACATGCAAATGAAGAATAGGAATTGGCTTTTTTGTAGTGCAGATCCATTGAATGTAGCCAGCAAAATTTTCATCATTTCGAGTCTGTCATTATGTAGTGATTTGCATATATTTTGGATACATAACCATGATTTATTATTTTATTATTATTATTATTATATTATTATTATTGTTATTATTATTATTATTATTATTGTTGTTGTTGTTGTTGTTGTTGTTGTTGTTTTTAATTTTATTATTATTGTGCTCATGCACTTAGTTAATAGAAAAAATTACATATACATATTTATTATATGTAAGATAATAAGTTATATAACGGGAGTATCACATTTTGAGTAAATGTATTACTTAGTAAAATTTATGAAAATAAAAATAAAGTATTTTACTTTCATTTCATTAGTTGTTTAATTTCATAAAATATAATGAATAATCTAGTTTTTCAAATTTCAAGGTTGAGGCCAGCTAATTAGTTTAAATGATTTGCTATGCACTTCTAACCAATTAGTTATAAAAAAATTATTTAAAATGAGAAAAAAAATTATTTTTTATTTTGATATAAATCATTTTCATGTATCTTGTACATCAAAATGAAACTTTATCATACATATCATTATCATCTGTTATGTTAGATAAAGGATGCAAAAATGTTTTAGTATAATAAACCTATAACCACTATGTACTTACGAAGAGAAAAATCTATCATTTTACTTAAAAATGGTTGAAATCCTCCAGTGAATAAAAAGACGTAATTATTTTTACTTTCTTTGATTGCATTAACAGGGAAAGTATAATTGATTAACCAAACTTTTGTGATCGAGTAGTGAACTAGCTTGACAGACAAACATGTATATACGGCTACAATAAATTGATAACGAAATACAAACTTTATGAAGTAGACCAAGAATGATGTTCCCTCATTGCTCACCATGATATATTATGTAATTTACATCACAAAAAATAAGAGACTTGTTAAGATTCCAATTATTCCTAAGTAAGTCTAATTTGGAGCTCAAATACTTAATTACAGAAAATATGAGCTCAACTTTAAAGTTCAGAAAGGGACAACTCAACTTGCACAATTCGCAAAATATGAGCTCATGGGAACCTGACAAATATCCAACCAAAATATATATAGGCAAATAAATAGTTGGTGCCAATGTCACAAAACCAAAAGCATAAGTTCACCGACCAAATCTGTGACCCTAGTACAGGTGTAGAAGTTGATCGGCATCATCAAAACGACTAATACATGCATCGTTGGAGATGATGGGTTCACATCCACATACATCACTTAAATAGAGATATAGTTGAAATTGCAAAACGACAAAGTTTTAATTGTAGACCATATACATATAATGACAATGACATGCCTTTTCTTTCTACAATCAACCGGACAAGATCTGTTGGACCATGGAGCACTTTGCAACATCATCAAGGCTGAAAAAGAGATCCATCTCATCAACGTTTTTGCACAGTTAACGCGCGTCAACTACCCTTTGATCCGTTGTTACGTTTGGAATTTTTTTTAAGTGCCTCATAAACGCAATTCATTGCTCTTTGCATCAGCTTGGTTTGTAAAATGTGTCGACAATTCAGAAAGACGCTTGTTCGTCTCCTCGCAACCAGATGAAATTAGCCCGATTATTTTATCCTCCACCTCAACATTACGCTTTCTTTTTCCGTCACGCTTAGACTTACCAGATGCACTACTCTCACCGGCTTGGGCCGAAAAAGAGTCCATGTTATTTTCAGGGTCGTCAAAATGTTCCGGGAACAAGTCCTAAGTAGGGATAGGGCTAGGTGCATGGACGTTTGTTTCATGTAACACTCCATTAACCGGGTCAGTAAAACCTTGTGCCCCCTCTCCCGTAGCCCGGTCCTTGCCAAATATTTCCACCCAATCACCATAAAAGGGCCAAGATTTATAACGGATTCCCTTCACCTTTGGATTAACCTTAAAGAAAAGAAATGTAAATAAATATAATTTTTCCTTAAATTACATTTTGGTTAAAAACTATTTCCCATCTGAACTATCACAATTTTGGCGCATCACTATATGAACTTTTTTATTTAACAAACCACCATCTAAATTACACAGGCTTGTCAAATTACCCCCTAAACCAAATTTAAAAGTAGTTTTGACTAAAAAAAGCTGTTTTTAAGGGCATTTCAGTAATTTCGTATATTTTTCTAAAAAAAGAAAATTATAAAACTGAAGAATCTGGTTTCAAAAAAAAATAAAAATAAAAAATAAAAAAGAAAAAGGGGCTGCTACGAAACAAACGGGCCGACGTGGGTTGCTGCTGTTGTTCGGGAGCCTGTCGGCTTCTCGCTGACGGACGGGCCTGCTGCTGCTCGAAAAGAAGTCGACGGGGAGATGGCTGCTCAAATTCAACAGCAAAACCCGTTGGAATGGCCGTCTCTGTTCGATGAAAAGGAGCCGACAGGGATTTCTTACGAACAGTGCTGCTCGACATCACCGGTAGGGAGAAATAGAAAAGAAACCGGCCACTGCGAGGGTCAGGTCAGACATGGCCGTGCCGGACAGAGCCGTGGTCGCCGGTCGCAGGTCGATGTGCTGTGAAGACTAGTCGCCGGTAGTCGGACATGGGCTCGAACTCGCCAAGATGTAAACGCCGATAAGTTCTGGTCGCGGCGCTAGGACGAAGAGGAGATTTGGGATTCCCGACCTGGGGTAGCCGGGCCGACGAAATCTGAGGCTTGAGGTCGCGGCTCTCTGCGGCTGTACGGGAAGGACACCAGGAGATGAAATTTCAATAGCGAGAGAGAATGAAGGTGAAGGGGATGACGGCGATAGGGACTCTCCTCGACGAGGTGCGGGGACGCCGGCGGATTAAGGGCTGGCGATGGGATAATCTTCGGAGAGGCTATTGTCGAGAGATGAGGACCGATGGCAATGGGGGTAATCCCATTTTTTTCCTTCATTTTCATTTTTTATTTTTTATTTTTTTTTTTTTTGAAAAATATATGAAATAAAAAAAAAAGTTTATATGGTGATGCGCCAAAATCGTAATAATTCATAAGGGAAAAAGTTTTTAACCCCACGTATTAATGAAAAAACATAGTAAAATGTGTAAATTTAATAATTACCTTCATGTAGGATTGCCAAACGGCATCATCCTTCACAACAATCATGTTTCCCGTTTCACTCCATTCGAACCCCGAACTTCGAAGCATTCCCAATATTAAACCATAATACTTTTTCCAAACCGTAATCTTTGATGATATTTGTGGTTCGGCTCTTATGTTACTACCTGGAAAACACTGGGCCATATGTTGTTCTCATATGTTCGCGTATCCTGAGCGAAATCTGTTGTCGCATTTCCAGCCCCACGAAACTAGATCGCACAAACCTTGAATTAATGCACTTTCCTCGTTTAAATTTCAAACTCAACGTTGTCCGTTGGCCTGTGAATTGCATCCCCCCACTACCGGTGGATTCCATCACTAAGTAATGACAAAAGAAAGAAACCAAGAATTACAGGTTAATCGGTTCAACAACCAAAATACAATATATTGTAATGAAGAAAAACCATAAATAAGGAGGACAAACTCTTTATTATGCACACAACCGAAGCAACAAAAATGAAATAAAGTATCAGTCACACATATTCTGAATGATTCACATAGTATTGTTTTCCACAAATAAAAAAAAAAAAAAAAACATGAAAATGTCTTTTTTGTTTAATATATTTTATTCTACAAACATTGGTCATGATATAGCCAACAAAACATTGTTTGCATCGGTGTTCAACACCGACCATCCCATTCATTAAACATTGAAAGAGCCAAAGCATCCCGCATATTTGTCCATTCTGTGTTGGGCTCTACAACGTCTATATAGTCAATGGGGTCATGGGGCTCGGGGTTTTGGTGCTCATTCTTCGTAGAGTCTCCCTCATTTTCCATAGGGCCAACACTCATGGTGGTACGGATAAAGTTTTGAAGACAACAAGAAAGTGTAATTTTGTTTTGAGTGTCTATATTGAAATAAGTTTTGCTCCTAAGGACGGCCCATCGCATCTTCAATACTCCAAAAGCTTGCTCGATTACATTTCGCGCTTTTGCATGTCTTAAGTTAAACAGCTCTCTATGGTTTGTAGGCACTCGGTTACCCTCACCAAACTCATGTAAATGATAGCGCACACCCCTATACAGAGTCAAGAATCCCGGACCGTTTGTGTAGCCGGCATCGCAGAGGTAATAGTTCCTTGTATTTGTGACAGATCCACCCACAAAAAAAAAAAAAAGAAAATATAAAATATAATTCCGTTATAAATAATTATTACCAAATATTTTGGATAAGTAAGGAATAGTATTACATTTTTACATGAATATACTTAAGACTAACTGATTGGTACACGAAGACCCCCTTCTCGGGGAACGGCAGCTTGTAAAACCCTAGTATCTGTCGCTGAACCTTCCCAATCGGTCAATACAACGAAAAATTCATATCTTGCGTGCAAGCCCCAAGCACATTCACGGAAACAAAACCTTTTATGTTTCGGTATCGTGGGTGTAGTCGTACAGGAACACCCATGGGAACATACGTTCCATCCAACGTCCCTGTGATTCAATGCACACCAAAATCAAGTTGTAAACTTTATTTTAATGGAGAAAAATGTTGTCCTCACCTTAAACCATCTCCATCTCCATCTCCATCTCCAATCTGTGCATGGCTCAGTTACATGGCTACTTTCGGCAACAAGGATGGGGTGCAAGCGCAGGACGACTTGAAGTACGTTGTGGAAGAATTTGCTTATTGTTTGACCATATTGTTTAAAATCAAATTTGACAACACAATTTTTTTTATGGTGAGCTAGCACACTAAGAAAAATTGCTACTTGTTCACTTATTTGAATATCTCTGGTGTTCCGCAGGCTGCCAATATGATCCAACAAGTAGCATAAACGCGCAAAGGTGCTTCGATCCATGCGAAGTTGTTCAATGCATGTTCTGTCACTTATTTCTACTAACACTTTCGTGTCCTCAATTTGAGAGGGAAGACAGTTTGAAATACTATAGGATTCTCTTGTAAGCCGACGTCTAACTCTACGATGTTGTCTTGGTTGTACAACCAGCTTAATGTAAACGTACACAAGCAGAAGACACAAATTACGTAGATTTATTATGTCCTCAACGAGCAACAGTACTAGCACCTCTTCCGATTCTATGTCCATGGTTAGTCTGATGATGTAAAGAAAAATACATACTTGGCCATAAATGAGTTAAAGTGAGAAGCCAACTTTTTTAATCTTTCCTACACTGTAAATTAAAACGTGTACCAAAATGTGCTAAAAATTGAAGTAAGGTTTACTCAACTTTAATTATTTCTTTTCACCAAGAACAGAGCAAATATACATAAATTACCTTAACAACTGTTGTTATTTATATAGAAATATGTAACTTGTTATATGCAAACATGAGGGCTTGAAAAAAACAGAGAAACGAAAATATGTACTGAACATAATAACCCATCAATAATTATTTACAAACCGACAATTGATTGGAATAGCCAAGCTCAACCTGTTTAAATTTTCCCTTCAACATTATTATGCAATTTGCTCGTTCTACTGCCTGACAAACCCGATCCACGGCCAAAACAAACAAACAAAGCAATATCTTGTTCCATAAAACATACTCCCTACTATTTTTAATAAGTGTCGTTTTGAGAAGTTGCACAGTAATTAAGAATTTTTTTTTTTTGCCAATAATAACCCTCATTAATGAGGATAGAGATGGATGTTTTGAGAAAAGATGAAGAGTGAATATGAAAATACGTTATGTATTTATTAGCTAGATGAGGGTAATAATGGAAAAATATATACAAAAGATCCAAAATATCATTTATTTAATTAATTATTGATAAAGTTATAATGACATTTGAAAAAAAATAAAAAAAAAATAGGAGATAGTATTTCAATTGCGAGTGCATTTAGTACAACATGATATAATGTGATGTGACTTTTAAAGGATTGCGCAACCACGGAGTTTGTCCCTCTTGAAGCTTCTCAGAGTACGAGGGGTGATCCCATTGGTTGTTTTCTTGTGTTCTCGTCCCCTACCTTCATTCCTTTGTTTTTGCCTTCTGCATAATGTAGCAGCTCGTTACATGTATTTTTTTAATCCTATCCTATGGCCCTGGTGAAGACTTTTCATGATTGAATTTAGATTTGTGGATCCAAATTGAATAAATAAGTTATATGGAGATTATATCAATAAGTTCCATAGAACCATGTAACATTTTTGTAACAAGTTGATTAAAACATAAATTACGGTTGCAAAGCCAGTGATATTGTATTATTTGAAAATATTCATCGGCAAATAAGCAGATCATCACATTCAAGAAAATCTTATGTTTATTATATATTTAGTTTACAAAACATTTGATTTTAATGTCAAAGCAACTAGAGCAAGTAATATTGATGATTTTTACAAGAAAGTGCATCTTCCAAAAGGTAGCGAACATTGTATTCGTATATATTCAAAGTTGTGATGGGAGCCAGATGCTCATAACTTAATACCTTTAAAAGTCACGACAAAGAGAATCTTGGCTACTACGCTCATTGGTCTTTCATTCAAGAGAAAAAAAGTTTGATGCACTCGGTACGACTATTTTGACTCTATGGTTGTGATAATTTTTTTTTTTTTTTAATTTGTTACCTGATTCGTCAAAATTCAAATTTAAAAATCACACAAAAGTAATACTTGTTTTGAAAAGTTGTACGAATTTGAATCCGAAAATACGCATTCGAATGAAGTTACAAATAATTGATTACTTAAAAATAACTATAAAAATTCAATATATTATAGAGTAAATTTTAATATTCGACATATAAATGAAATTATTCATTACTATTTTATATAATATATTATTTAATAATATTGCAAATAACATTTAATACTGATGGAACAAAAAATTTATTAAATACGAAAAAATATTTATATTAATAAGTTTAAATACAAAAATATATTAAATACATAATTGATTTATATATAATTTCTAGAAACAAATATCGAATAGAAGAGAATATATTTTATCATCTTAAACGAATCGAATGCAAATCACAAACTGGATTCAAATGCAAATTACAAACTGGATCCTAGATAAACCAAATGCAATTACAACTATTCTGAGTATTTTCACTAATCAGAATCGAACGATTAAGTAATCGCGGTTCAATTCATTTATGACCCTATAAGGTGAGAAGAAAAATAGGCTTTGTGGAACATTAAAAGGGATAGCCCTCCTCATCATCAGTATCTGGCACCAGGCTGAACATTTTGTATAGATAAATGCGCAACACTAACACATTCTTAAAAAGGGTCCGATCCAAATATAAGTTTGTTCTGTAATGAAATTGATTTGATAAAAGAATTTCCACGAACACATTAGTCAATGTATATATACAAAATTATAAATCTGGCTCGAGAAGAAAGAAGCCAAAACCAAGGCTTTGGTCATCCTAATCAAAGAAGCCTCGATAGAGAGGGTTCATGCAACATATTGGAAAAGAAATAGAAAGTCCCAACTTCAACAATTCTTAGATCATTGTAAAATGAAAAAAAAGTCTCAACTTCAACAATTCTTAAATCATGGACTAGCACCTTTGTCCACAATTTTGAAGTTTTCATTACAAGACAGGCAAGTGCAGTTGCCAAAAACCTAAACCAACGGAACATGTTTAGGTTTAGCTAATGTATAAGATCGGGAAAACAAGCCGTAATGTTGGGGGATGCCTAAATGGTCAACCCGCAAAAAATGAAATGAAGTCTGAGTCGACAAATTGGAATAACAAAAATCGCCACCAGTAAAAGACAAAAAAATTCAAAAACCAAAGTTTTCGAAATGTTCTTACGTTGAAACACTGAACGAAACAACTCAACATTACGAAGCACGGGCACAAAAACAACAAGCATATAGTCAAGAACAGCACTCAAACACAAAACAGAACATTGACTAATAACAAAAACAACATACACACTTCCTAACAGAAAAAACAGAAACCCAAATCAAACTTAATCAGCCACCGTCTCCATTTTTTCCTTCAATCTTAAATAGTTCTTTTTGTAAAGGAAAAAAAAAAAGAAAATATTTAGTTCACGGGATAAGTAAAAGGTCAGATCTCACTTTGCCATCATGACTTTGACGAACTCCTCATAGTTGATCTGCCCGTCACCATCCACATCAGCTTCACGGATCATCTCATCAACCTCCTCATCAGTCAGCTTCTCCCCTAGATTTGTCATCACATGCCTAAGCTCAGCTGCTGAGATGAACCCATTTTGATCCTTGTCAAAAACCCGGAAAGCCTCCTTGAGCTCTTCCTCCGAGTCAGTGTCTTTCATCTTGCGAGCCATCAAGTTGAGAAACTCTGGGAAATCTATGGTCCCATTTCCATCAGCATCGACCTCGTTGATCATGTCCTGGAGCTCGGCTTCTGTGGGGTTCTGCCCCAGGGAACGCATCACAGTCCCCAGCTCCTTAGTCGTGATGCAACCTGTTTTTACGAATTCAACCACAAATCAGAGAATTTTTAGATTTAAAATGATAACATTTATGACAAGCTTCTACGAGATTAACTTTAAAGAATTAACATGTGGGCAACAATGACTAAAAGGAAATATCCAGTGCCTTAAACATAAATATGAAGATATTTTAGCATAACTCATGAATGGGAATTCGTTGATCGGAACACATCACACAATGAAGTCTAGCTGGTAAATGTCTATGGACTCCAAGCAACATGAATGGAGTTTAGGTAGCAACAAGATGATACTTGAGAGTACCCCAAAGGTTAGAGTATCAAAAACAATAAATCAAAAGTTGGAGATGGATCTTGTGCTAGATGTCGTTATCCTTGTTAATATGAATACGTACCAAAGCATTTCAATGTAACTAAGTAGATGTTTCTTTGCTCAGGGGAATGGTAAATAACAGTTAAAATGGACAAGAAAAGGCATTTTCAGTAATTAACATTAATGCAGTGGAAACCCAATGAGAATACCACCAAATCAAGCGAGTATAAGTACCACTAACAATCTCATGTTAAATTCAAAACAGCGAACAATACAAACAAGCCTGCCACAAATGATTGATTGATGCAACATTAGCAAAGTTTACCACACAAAAAACAAACGTCCAAATCATCCATGAGAATTCGAACTAAAAACAACTTTATTCATTAAATAAATCACACAAAATCACATCACCACCACCGATGACAGCAACAAACGGCAAAAATCAACCATTACAGGCAGCAACAGACCATCTCAACATTTCTCAAGCAGAATCAACACAGAACAAACATAACATTCACAAAAGGCTCTACAAAAAACATCAGAAGCACTTCAATAGTCCAACATATATTAAAAAAATCAACAGATCTGAGTAAAAAAAACAGATCAAAACACAAAACAGCACCAACACAGAAAGCATGTGAATTAAATTAGGCTCGGACCATCGCCGTCCTTGTCAAATAGAGAGAACGCTTCCTTGAATTCGGAGATCTGATCGTCGGTTAGCTGATCCGCCATTGTTTTTTCCTCCTCTCAGGCAAATGCTAAAAAAATATCTATGTGCGAAGAATGGTGTGCGAGTGGTCAACGTAGAAAATGAAGGGAAAGTGTGGGGCTATTATAGAAAATCGGAATGGGGATGGGGTTGCTGGTCTTTTATTTTTGTTTTTTCTTATTTTTCTTCCACTTTTTTTTTTTATTCTTTCTCTCAAACTTTTTTTTTTCTTAACTTTGAATAAAGTATAAATTCTTTATGTTGCTTTTCTTGATTCTTTATTCTTCTTTTGATGAATATATTTTGTTCTCGTTTATTTTGACAATAACATTTTGATCTCTTTTTATTTTGGCAAATTAATTGGTTTTTCATCATCTAATTGTTAACTTGACAAATCTATTATTATATACAAATAATAATTTTTTTACAATTTTAGAAATGTTTTCTCGCTAAATACATTAAATGTATCTTATATATAGTAATTATTGGACAATATTGATAAGGCAACAAAATCGGCTGATTAATTGTGTTAGAATATAATTTTGTTAGAATTTGTTTTCCTTTTTCCTGTTTTTTTTGTATTGAAATCGCGTTATAAAATTCATAGCATAAATCTAGAGTTTATCTCTTATCTGTTACAAAATCTCAATGCATACATCTCACAAGTTTAAAAATCGCATCTCTTATTACTACTAGAAATCCATTATCTACTTTAAAAAGCTAATTTTCATCAGTTTAATTACTAATATTTTTACAAATATTATAAGCTAACAATACATCATCGATAACAACGTAAAAAGTATAATAATAATGGTGTGTAATCAAATTTTTTAGATGGAAGTAACGTATCATCTGACATAATGTCTATTTTAAATTATGCTTATAATATTTTAGATATTTTAAACAAATTGGTTAGACATTTTTTTACATATTCGTCTATATATACACATATATATAGGGGACGGATCCAATAAGATCACTCCTTAAGATGTGAGACTCAATCTTAGCCACTCATTTTGTCTAGATCAAAATCAATTAAAATATACATTAATTAAATAATAAAATAATTATTAATTGACTCCGGCGTTGACTCCGACATTGACCCGTTGACAACTAACCTAGCAGCAACAAATAAATAACCTAGCAAAAAAAAAAGACAACTAACCTAGCAGCAAGAAAGAAATAGCCTAACAATAAAATACAACTAACCTAGCAGCATCAGACAACTAACCTAGCAGCAAGAAAGAAATAACCTAGCAACAAAATACAACTAACCTAGCAGCATCAGACAGCTAATTTAGCAACAAAACACAACTAACCTAGCAGCTACAGATAACTAACCTAGCAACAAAAGACAACTAATCTAGCAGCAAGAAAGAAATAACCTAGCAACTTAAGACAACTAACCTAACAACAAAACTCAACTAACCTAGCAGCAAGAAATAAATAACCTAGCAACAACAGACAACTAACCTAGCAACAAAACACAACTAACCTAGCAACAACAGACCCGCCGCCATCGGCGGCCTTCCCGGCCCCTGGGCCTTTTTTCCTTTTCAGTTTTATCCTATTTTTCATCCGTTTTTTACATTTTTTTCAGTCCTCTAATATCATTTCTATCGGTCAATCATGGCCCCTCCAGCCAACAGTCAAGTTCCAACCCCCATTCAAGCCTTGGAGTTGGAACTTTTCATCTCACAAACGGCAATCCGAGAGGCTCTTTTGGCCTTTCTCGGAAAAAGCAACACAAATATCATTGAAGGAGAAAGTCAAATCTTGGAAGAAGGGGAAATATTTGAAGGCTTAGAGAAAAGCCTCGGGTCCCAGCAAAATGACCAAGGAAAAATGGAAAAAAATTCGGGGAAAAAAAGTTTCACTTTATCGCCTGCCCCTCAGTAACCGGAAAAGAAAGTGTCGCCTTACAAGCTGGCACGTCACAAGGGTCCTCGTCCTCACAAGTCAGAGCTAGCACGGACCGGTCGGAGGCTCACTGTGGCTTGAAAACAGAAAATCGAAGCACAAAAAGTGGGCGTTCTAAACCGCCGCGCGTCTTCGGGGCGTACTCTCCGCTGTTGAGCTTGGTCCCGCTGGAGGCGACGACCCCCGCCGCCAACCCCTCACTGCTGACTGGTCCGCTCCTTTGCCCTCCTTCTCACCTTTTATCCGATGGCCAAGTGTTAGGGTTACGAGAACCGATTGGCAACGTGGCCAAGTCTCAGCCATCTACCCAACCTTTGGGCCACGTTGATATGTTGGGCCAAAAAATAAATTCCTTGCTTGGGCCCATCCTGTATACACAACCAGCCCCTCTATTTGAGCCCAACCCACCTTCTATTAATACACACAAAACCCACATTCCTCGGTCCAAGTCCTATCAGGGCCCTATGATCATAAAACCCCTCAGCCCTCCCTCAAACTCTCAGCCCTTAGATTTTTCTCGGCCTAATCTCTTGGGCCCGACTCAAATGACCCAACCAACTGATCTAAGGGCTCTCCAGCCCATCCTCCAACTTAGCCCTATCTTGGGCCTCCATCTCTATAGGCCAGCTCAACCCTCTATAATTAACCAAAGTCCCACTCAACCGCAGCCCAATACCAACCACCCTCAATCATCAGCCCACTCTCAACCTAATGCTAACACCACACAGCCCAACGCCTCACAGCCCTACACCATCACCACTAAAACCTCCCAGCCCGCCTCAACTGAAATCTTAATTAGGTCCGACACCTGCCATCAACACGCCATCATCCAACCAGCAGGCACCACTCATTTTCCCTTAACCGGCGCCGGCGCCGCCACGGCCACCAGAATATCTCTTCCGGCCAACGCTCCAGACGAGGTTGTTCCGGAGTCGGCTTTACAACTAGAATCCTCGGGGCCAAGCCAAATTCACCTTATCCGACCGAGCTCCTCGTCGGAGTAACCAACCTTGCTGCCGGAGACTCTGAACCGGCCGTCCTGTATGTACGGGAAGATGGTGTGGCTGTTGCGAGCCCAAGCACGACGGCCACGACCCATTCTTCCGAGCACTCCCCGAATGGGACACCACCGACGGGCGCCTCCACGGCCAACCCTGCTGCAGCCGGGCCACCACCGGGCACCTCCACTGGCCCGCTCTCCTTCCGGGAGGCTATTACGGGGAGGAGAGATAGAGGCACGGGCGGCCCACGTCCGACGCCAAGGATTTCACCTTTGATGGGGGATACGAGCATGCTTGCGGGACCATTATCCGCTCAGAGGGAAACAAGGTGAAGGCCCGATTTACTCAAACCGAAGCTGACGCCCTTGCCGGTAAGTTAGCTAACACCCTGGTTTTTAAGTTTACTTATGCTATCCTTGCCCCCCGAGATATATCTGCTGAATTAGGTAAACTGGGTTTTAAGGGTAGAGTGTCATCTAAGTGGTATAACTTTAACCACCTCCTAGTCTCTTTCCATCTCCCCGAGGATTTTGGCTTAAGACCTCGATTCATTTGTGTGGATGCCCAGCTAGGGTGTTCAAGTATACTTCCGGGTTTAACTCGAAGACGGAGACGCCATTTGTCCCCGTATGGTGTCGCTTTCCCGGCCTCCCACCCCACCTCTACGACCGCGATTCCATCACTACGCTGGCTAAGTGTATCGGCCAACCGATTCGCATTGATGCCTCGACGGCCCTCCAGTCGAGGGCTAACGTGGTGAGGTTTTGTGTAGAGGTAGACCTTAGAGTCGAGCCCGTCCACGAGATTGAGATTGAGCAGGGCTCGGAGACCTTTGTTCAGCGGGTGATCTATGAGAAGATCCCCGCGTTCTGCACTTTGTGCAGTCATGTGGGACACATTGCGGCTGATTGCTACACTAGTGGCAATAAGCCACGGCCCACACTTCCACAGCGCCACCGTACGACTCAGCCAGAGCCCTCCACCGCCCGAAGGGACCCGAAGGGGAAGGGCAAAAGCCCTCTCCGTGCGCCCGAGACCCCGAAGGGGTCTAAGGATAAGGGCAAGGCTGTGATCGACGCCACTGCCCAAATTGGGAAGGATGCTCACCCTAACCAGCCTAAGCAATTGGCCACAGTAGGGCCCAAACCCAAGTCCACGGGCTTTCTTTCCAGATAGACCCTACAGTCGGCCTTCAAGGCCAACCACTCGTACTTTGCTATTCTCTCCCCAGAGGCAGAGAATGAGGTTGTGCCCTCCACCAGTGGCCTACCTAGGATTACGGACCTTACGCTTCTAGATGATGATGACCTCCTTGTAGACGATATGGACCAGCCGGACGCCTCGTCCAGGGGCGAGTCCATCCACTTATCTGATGACAGCGCGCGCGATGCTGTCCCCTTGACTGCGCATGCATCTAGCCCGGACCGCTCTCTGGATTTGAGGGCCACTACCGTCACCACTCCCCCGAAAGGGGATGAGTCGGCCCATCTTCTCTCTGCTGAGATTGGGAGCTCGCCTGAGCATATAGCCAGCCCTCATCCACCCTCTGGTGGCGAGAACCTGAGTGCTCCGCCTGCTGGATCCTCTCTTTTCCCCATCCCCGAGCAGGCATGCGATCTTAACCGCGCCCAGCATGACGTCTCGTGCGAGAGCTTCACCTCTAGTGCTTTCGTTCACTATGACAGACAGAAGATAGCCCCGGAGATGAGGCAACCCGCTAGTGCCGCTCTTAGTCAGACTGCCCAGCCAGACGACACATAGGACACGAGCACTTACTGAGGCCGGCAGTCCACGAGGACCAGAGCCACGCAGCCCACGACACGACGGACTGTTTTCCCTGCTATTCAATCCTTTCGCCACCTTCCTTCTTTAGGTGGCCCGACTCAGCCTCACCACATGCGGACTATGTCCGGTGGCTCTTGCAACCGTTGATATGTCTATCACATCCATAACTTGGAATGGCCGTGGCCTGGCGAATAGGGCTACTCTTACTCACATTCATTCTTTCACTCGTGATCACAGTCTTGATTTTGTTGGCTTTATTGAGCCGATGATTCGCACCCCTTCTTTTGACTACTACTCACGTCGTCTTGGCTTCTATG